TCCCAGCCAGCTCAACTTTAGTCTGCAGAGCGGATATTTTGCGGAGCGGATCCGACGGGTACTCCTGACTATTTGTTGTAGAATCCCAGGCTTCTTCGTAAGCGCTTCTTTTGCGTGCGAGTATAAACAAGAACAAGATATTACACAATAGTCATTCACTTCTCATCCAATAGGATGCCCTTAAAGTCACGTATTTCGAAATTCAGTCTATCTGTGACAGTCTATTACTTTTCGAAGCTAGCTTCTCAGACTCGACGTTAAAATAATAGAGGAGTTTTTCTGCGGGATCCAGACTAGACGAATACAAAGTCTGCACAGAAAGGTAGGGCTTTAATTCTGTGACTTCACGTACGCTTAGGTTTTATGCCTGGCGCAAAGTGACTTAACGCTTTTCTGCTTAAAACAAAAGAAATTAAATAGAAGGCGTGTGCACGCAGACGAGAAAGGCTGGCCCTTAGGAAAAACGTGGCAAATAGGAGTTTTCAAAGTCAAGTTTTTGTACTTTTCTTATCAGAATCATTTTCCCTTGCGAGTGAAAAATTTGATTTCTATGTGTCTTCTCGTTCTCTCCAACATTTTCAGCTCATTGTCACTGTGTACTTAGTTCCGTCGCTATTAGGTTTTTAATCCCTTGAAGGCGACTCTGAGTAAATCTTATCTGGTATGTTATGTTGGGTTGTCTGTGATGTTTTTGGCATTTGCATTTTTCTGTCACGCCGGCTTCAGCTATGACTACCTTCTCGTCGAAGAGTTACATGACAAATTTGTCACGCGCGGATATTGGATTAACAGCAAATTTACAATAATAGTAACTTCATATATTGCACTGACAGTAAAAATTTGTTTCGTTTAATTGCTGTCGTTCTTTCAAGCTAATCTCCACCAGGTGACAAGGATAATTTTGTGACAGAAAAAAATGTTTAGAGCACCAAAGTTTTCATTGGCAGTCGTGATGACATGTTAGAGATAGTCAAACGTAGGCGTTTGCATGAAACTGAGGCGCTTGCATGATATCCACGATATTGCCTCGTGTACTATATTGGACAAAGTATTTAACACTGACCCTTTTGTTATTCTGGGGGCAAAGATATATGCAAGTGCAGCACCCTTTCTGAAAGAGTTACCTTTGTGCTCTGTTAAGTGTTGACTTAATTTAACTTGGTAGAACTTGACGATTACCCAGCACTACGGTCATTATACAGAAAGGTAAGCTTTAGTGATTACGGATAAGCCACCCTCAGTATACATTTATTATGGTTTGCCCGTGGAGCGGCCATTAGAGTGAGGTTTGTAATTTTAAAATCTTGTTCCCGATGGCTCTCGAGATTCAAGCAACATTTCGGCCGGTTACAATACCGTACAAGTTTACCACAACCGAGTAAACGGTAGCTTTGTGTTGATCAAAATTCGGATCCCTGCCAGAGCACAGACGAAATTGTTTTGTGACAGTCTGACATCTTTGACCTGGGTACAAGGTATCGTGTACTGTCTTTCGTCGCATACGTACCGCACGTGTTGCTTTTCAAGTCGCACGTGGAATCACTGTTTTGGGGGGTACCGATGTTTGTATTTACTATTTAACCAAACTTAAAAATGTCTGTGGCAGAATTCGTTGTTGCCACTTTCAGAGTAAAGATAACGGCATCATTGGAATATTAAAAATCTATTTTTCTTCAAGTCTTGTAGGCGTCTACATCATTTGCAGATCGAACATTGGCGATAAACGTGCCTTACTCCAAAATAAAATTTTGTAAAGCAAAATATTATTTAGAAGTGCTTGCTATAAATAAGGAATCGAAACTCACATATATTCAATCGGCTGAACTGAAAATCAAACAAGGTGGTGCAGTGTACAATGCGACAAGTATATTAAACTTTTATAATTTTCTGAATGTTTTGATTTTTACTTGTTAATGTAATTCATAAATTGTCGTGCAAGTACTTTCGATACAAGAGTGGACATCACGTGACAGGGGTGGAGTGACTGACGAGTACTCCTTTGTATTATATCTCCGGCAAACCAGACGCTCTTTGTTAAACAATGAACCGCAAACCGCGAAAGAGATGCAAGTCTGAACGGCTTCTGTTAAATAGGTTGACGTTTTACATGTTTGCTAATGTAACATTTACTGAAAGTGTTACGTCAGGAGCCCATGTGTTATGGGGTCCCGGTCATATATAACTTAGTAAATTCGAATTCAAGAAAACTTCTGTTTTCATACGCATCTACAGAAGTTGATACTAGAAGGCATTATGAACGTTTGGCATGTCGGAGAAGGGAACTTAATTCAGTGTTCAATCGGTGTGACGAGTTAAGACGGTTTTAAGTTGTTTATTGCTTGTTCATTTCTCAGTTGTCTGTATACTATAAACCAGGCTGGACTCTATGTGAAAGTAAGGTTTGGGTTGAACATAAACAAGATGACTGAGAAATCAGAAACTAGTGATCAGGAAGCTTGAGAAAACCAGTCAACTCGAGGCTCGAATATGAGCACATGCGCTGCGGGCACAGGCTGCTGAGAGAGGTACACCCTCGTACCCAGCTTCTTCGTTCCCCTTGATCAGCGGTCGGGAAACGTTTCGTCAAGCCAACATGCGCAGTTAGGAACGAAGACTTGAGGTACGAGACTGATAGGGTCCGCGGTCTATTTTGAGCGCATGAATTGCTTTCGTTGAGGTAGGTGCTCAAAAGCGAAGTATATGCACTGTTTCCTAGTAACAAAAAATCTAACACCTGAAAAAAAACTGTTTTAAGACAGGTTGCCTATTTACCGAGTTAGGATTTCGAGTTGGATTTCGAGTTGGATTTCGAGTTGGATTTTCGAGTTGGATTTTCGAGTTAGATTTTTTGGCGGGATTTCCAATAAATTTTTAGTGGTTTTATGATTTAAATGGTTGACAGGCCAAACACGACTCCTATTGGTCAAGATAGAGCTAGCCAATGGCGTAATGTATTTTTCGATCCTTATTTGTTTGAAGCTCGACCTCGTTATTTTTTGTTTTTTTAACGGCATTTTTTCTAGATTTGTAGGCACTCGATGGCTAATCAGTGACATCAGTGTAAAATGGGGTTGACAAGCCTACACGACTCCAACGGTTAGTGACATTTGTACATTTGCTGTTCTCTGTTCGGTCAATCGACCATTTTGTTGCATCACTCGTGTCTATGAAGGGCACTTCACGTTGTGTTATAAGGAGGAATTTTAAGTATAGTTGAGCCGTAAGACCGTGCTATAGCAAAAGTTTTACAGGTCGTAGGTCTGCATGGTTTCCGCTCCTATCAGTGCATGTCGCTTCGTCGAGTTTGACACCCCTGTAATTTGCCATGTGTTTATGCCTTTTATAAGCTCATTTATATTGCAAGAAATGTGTTTAAGTCTCCAAGTGTTTGCTTTCGAGGGACAAAATATGAATTTTACTTACTTGCATTCTATATTGCGACGCCGGGCCGGCTGTGATTAAAACTGTGTGCAAGTATAGTGGGTAGATTCTTATCACGGATATTATATTATTTGTCCTTGTACGTTTTTCTCCTGAGACGCTAACCTGCGAACAGGCTCCCGCTGAGCTCAGTCGAAGCAAGGGAGCCTGTAGACATTCTATTGATGCCGCCGTTCCATGATACCAGCTCCTGGTATCATAATATGATTGGCTAAATCGCTGATTGTTGACATCTTTGAGTTAAATATTTGACAGGTCTCTGTGAAATGCGGTTGACCGCCCTACACGACTCCTACAGTTCGTGACAATTGTGCGATTGCCGTTCTCGATCGTTCTCTTTTAATTTCAGTCTCTCGATCTTTCGTTATTTCACAAGTGATTCTGAATGGTACGTTATGCTCTGTTACGGGGAGGAATTTTAAGTAGAAGCCGTTTGGCTGTGCTATAGCCATTTTTTTAGAGGTCAAAGGCATGGCTTCTGGACTTTCCGCTGTTATTTGTATGTCGCTTCGCTGAGTTTGACACCTGTATCAGGTGCTTATAATTTCTTTACGCTCATTTCAGTATTGCAAAATATGTTTTAAGCTCTCTAAGTATTGGCTCTGGAGGGACAAAGTTTGAAATATTCCGTGAACATGCTTACTTGCACCCTATATTATAGACTACGGGTAGTCCCTCTTTCGCTTTTGTTGGCTTTATTGGACTGGAAATCTACGAGACGGTTTACGGACAAACTCGCCGATTCGTTGCAGCTGGATTACTAGTTAAAAAAAAAAAACGACTCTACATCCTTACTCGAAAATTCAACTCGAAATCCTAACTCGAAAATCCAACTCGAAATCCTAACTCGAAAATCCAACTCGAAATCCTAACTCGAAAATCCAACTGGAAATCCTATCTCGAAAATCCAACTCGAAAGTCCAACTCGAAATCCTAACTCGAAAATCCAACTCGAAATCCTAACTCGGAAGTTAGTTTGTCTCGTTTTAAGAATCTTTTAGTTTTCGGGGGTGTTTATTTTGTTTGCTTTTTGTTTATTTTTTGTAGAGCAATCAGGAAAGATCACAGAACATAATGCGTTATTGATAGTCAAAACTATAATGTTTATTCTAAGTTAAAAGAGTTGACACGAAACAGTTTGTCGCGGCTTGGGAAGCTGTTTCAAAAACGAAACGCAGATAAGCTAATAAAAATGTTTGATTGCAATCTCGCAGCGTATTGTCACAGAAAGTTAAAACAACACGAAAGTTTGCAGTTGATTCAGTTTTTGGTTATCGAGCTATGCTACAGAGATTGTTCGACCAAAAATAGCCTACAAGCCGCCATAGAACCTTTGAAGATTACAGTCGAGTTCAGAGGTCAGACATCACTATTGTTCTCGAGTGAGATAACGTTTGACCCGATTACGAAATACACAGAGAAACCTCCAAGCTGGGATCGGGACAGGTAGACTGACAGTTAAGGAGAAGCGCGATCACGAAATCGAAGTATCAATTCGCTGTGCCCGAGGGGTGGGGGGAGGGGGTGGGGAAAGAGATTTTCAAAGGCGGAGAGGTACAAATGAAGCTGTGATTAAACCCTACTCAAATAAGGTAAAAGAACAGACAATTTCACATTATTAAAAAAAACCTCCGATTCACAGAGACCTCATCACTCTTACTTAGTCACCGAACTCCCCCTCCCCCCGCTTTGTAGTCTTGAGTTCACCCATGGATGGGATTTCATTGTAGGGGTACACGGATCAAATAACATCCTTTTCGGCAACAAGCTCGTGCTCTGCGGTAGGAATTGAACGCGTGCAGTTAAACTGGACTTCTCTGAGCCCCGTGAGTTGAGCTTTATTCCATACATCTTAGTTAGCAAATTTTTTACCATCCTCGTGCGCTGCAAGAGGTAGGTCTGTAGCTTCAGGTTTTTCACCTGAAGGCCCCCTGGATTAATTCAACTTGCAGCTGCATAGCTGCACAATGCCTCGCTAGCCTACAGTGCAAAATGCAACCCAGAATGGTAGCTCGAAGTACAGTTATTCAATTGTTTAGCTATCCAATAACAAGATGCCTGCATGAATCTCCATTCATATTCGTTCGTGAGCCAATGAATGCAGTCTGTGTCCCGTCATATTGTGCTCACATTAAGTTCAGTATTCAGATCAATCGGCCCCTCTCTGTGCGTGCATGCTGGTATGCAGTTTGAAACGAAGATCTGTGCATTTCAGTCACCAAAGGAAACTATTTCCGGTCCGGTCAGTCAAGAGAAGGTGATATTAAGATGGCATATATCCTAAAACTGATCAATGCCTCAACCGAAATCGTAATTTGCCATTATTGCGTAAGACTTAAGGTGTGCTTGCACGCATGGTATCCACCGGTTTAGGAGGAATCGAAGGATTCTTAGTACCTCTTCATTTAGTTCCATGTTGGCGGGAAATTTGTTTGCATGGAAACTGCGCAATTCCCACCTCGATAGCAAGAGTAACATTACGCTAGAGACTATGCAAGCCGCTAAGAAACAGGTGCCTAATGTTGTTAAACGTGACACACCAATTGAAGTTCCAATTCACATCATTGTCAGAATTGGCAAAATTAAAAGAGAAGTTTTCCCAGCCAAAAGACAAAATGGTTGCCCAAAAAGCGCACCATTTCAGGATATCGATTTGCAGCTGTAAAGGTAGCCGAAAATCTGGAAATAAAAGTGCCATGTTGTGGATTCATCGTGACAAAAAATTGTGAGGTCAATTAGAGGTTGATCTTCATTGCTGTCTACAGTTTACAAGATGTAACTGCCGGTCGATCCTGAAAATATTGGATTTACCCTGAACTCGTAATCGAATTCATTCAAAGCTTATTAATTGCCTCTAAGAATAGTGAGATATTTGCCTGAAACAGCGATTTTTTTCCTCTACGCGAACATCTCTTTAATCACCTTTGCATTGGAGTGTCAACTTGTAAGCAAGAGTTGATTTCGGTAATATGACTCACTGAGATAAATATCAATTCGCTGTAAAAACGCACGGAATTACAAAGGTTTTTTGTCTGATTTGGCTTGTGGCATGTACATTCTTCTTTTCTCGAAATTTGTCGAACATGAAATAAATTTTGTTTAAGTTCCGGGTTTGAGTTATAACTTTTAAAAGTATTCAATCGAGGCAAAACCGTACAGCGTGAGAATTTCTCAACCACAGCCCCACTTTACGGCTAAGCCTTCTTTCACATTTTTTTTTTGTATTCAGCTCCATAATTTCTGGCACAATTCATCGGTATACGTGTGTAAAAGTTGTCCCTATAAGTCACAAATAAATCTGCAATTGCGATCAAACGTTTTACAGCAATAGGGTTGTGAACCCTGATGTTACTCTAACGCTTGGCTTTGTGGAAGTCAATTAATCCGTTCACCAGTTCATACCATTGCCTTTTAAAACAATAGATGACAGTTCAAAAGAGTGCCCCAGTCTTAAAACAATATAGTTACTCTTTGTGGAGACCGAGGAAAATGCAGGTGCTCGTAAAGATCAGATAAACGCCTTATACTGCAGGTTTGAATTACTGTTTCCTCAGCCACATTTATCTTGAATCTTTGTTTCAACTGAAAATGCCCTGTGAAAAGGAACACGCTTAGCAGGCCTTGTGCGAAGTCTACCCTCTGTTGAAATCAAAATTACATTCTACGAGTGCCGGAGGCGCAGATCTTGATTTGAAGTTTCGCGTCTTTGTGTTAGTGTCGTTTGGCACTGTGACAAAAATTTGGGTGAAAAGGGTCAAACTAATGTGATTGACCAAGATATTAAGATTGTGAAATATTTGTATTACTAATAACACACGAGCTTTCTGTGAGGGGCACTCAAATCTAAGCTTGTTAATAACTTATGGCAATCGATTTCGTAATCACAAAAGTTTGATTCGAGTGTCAGATGGGTAATATCTGACCTTAGAGTTAACTGCTGGTCGTGTCGCCGTGTTGTGAAAAGAACTTGTCGCACAAGGGGACAGAGAACGATACAGTACGAAGAGAGAATATCACATCACAACAATATTGAATTCCGTAATATTGCACTTGATTGTGTTGATTGTGAAAATTGTTTTTGAACTAGCCAGGTGTAGCTAAGCGCATTGACCAATATAAACATTTTCAGGGTTTACAGAGGAAACTCCATCCTAATGGTCAGAGCGGGACTTGAACCCGAGACCTTCGGATTTCAACTCAGGCGTCCTAACCAATCGGCTACCCTGCCTCTCAATATGAGAACGCCTCAGCCGTAAAGACGTTAAGTTAAATTAAGAAAAATCGAATCCAAAAGAGACCAACCTGTCAAAACATGGTTGCCATGGAAATGTCAAGGCATGTGCAATTATGTTTTGTTTTTCTTTCATCCAGGTGAACACTTCTAAAATCCAAGATGTCTCAAGCAACTGCAAAGCGTGTTTGTGTGATTGGCGCTGGTGCAAGTGGCATGTCAGTGTTATATCACTTTCATCAACTTAAAGCGCAAGGAAAAGAAGTACCAGAAATCGTGTGCTTTGACAAGCAATCTGACTGGGGAGGACTCTGGAAATACTCCTGGGAGACTGGTGAGTATTTTCTTTTTTTCAGTTTTCGTGTTTCAATCACTCTAAAATTCTGCTGTATATTTAGGACTAGACACGTAAAACGTTTCATTTACTCAGTAACTTTTAAAATTCTGAGATAACCTGCGAAGCAAGCGTTCCGTGGCAAAAATTGGGTGAGAGAAGAACATCGGGGTTGGTAGGTCGTCAGACCACGCCCTGCTATGTCGATTTCCATGCTCTCGCTTCAATGTTCGCGCGGCCAAAATGTGGAAAATTAAAAGCTCTTCGTTCGTACAGGAACGCTTGCCATGCAGGCTAATTCTGAGAACTGTCACTAAGGGACCATTTTCAAACACAAGGTAAGAGGCACAAGGTAAGAGGCAGGCAAGGTAAGAGGCAAATCAGACAGGTCCAGACAGGCAACTGTGTACCTTGTGTTTTTTTTTAATGAATTAAATCATGACTACCCTTGCTTTTTTAGGTATCGATCAACATGGTGAATATGTGCACGGCAGTATGTACCGCGGCTTGTGGTCTAATGGCCCCAAAGAATGTTTAGAATATCCAGACTACACTTTTGAAGATCATTACAAAAAGGCAATACCATCTTACCCTCCCAGGGAGGTTCTGTATGATTATCTTCAAGGTATGTTCGTTATGGGCGAGACTTGCTTTGATGAAAGTTTAGCTAGAGTATGACCTCGATTGCAGTTAGTTATCTTGTAGTTCATATTATATATGATATACAGTCGAACCTCCCGTAAGCGACCACCCAAAATGTCAAGCCTAGGTAGTCGCTTACAAGAAGTGGTCGCTTACGAGAGTTTAGACCATATTGGGTCAAAATTTTGCCTCGTTAGCATATGGTAACTGAAGAGACATGTTTTAAATGCTTTATTCATGTGAAAAGTCAATTTCGAAAACATCCGGTGCTTCCCATTGAAACAATTTCCGTCTCTTGTACTACCCAGGAATGCGATAATGCTACAACACTTTTTTTCCAATTTACGCTCTCAAGTGGTCGCTCACGGGAGGTTAAAAAAAAAAAGAAAATTNTTTCGAGTTGGATTTTCGAGTTGGATTTTCGAGTTAGATTTTTTGGCGGGATTTCCAATAAATTTTTAGTGGTTTTATGATTTAAATGGTTGACAGGCCAAACACGACTCCTATTGGTCAAGATAGAGCTAGCCAATGGCGTAATGTATTTTTCGATCCTTATTTGTTTGAAGCTCGACCTCGTTATTTTTTGTTTTTTTAACGGCATTTTTTCTAGATTTGTAGGCACTCGATGGCTAATCAGTGACATCAGTGTAAAATGGGGTTGACAAGCCTACACGACTCCAACGGTTAGTGACATTTGTACATTTGCTGTTCTCTGTTCGGTCAATCGACCATTTTGTTGCATCACTCGTGTCTATGAAGGGCACTTCACGTTGTGTTATAAGGAGGAATTTTAAGTATAGTTGAGCCGTAAGACCGTGCTATAGCAAAAGTTTTACAGGTCGTAGGTCTGCATGGTTTCCGCTCCTATCAGTGCATGTCGCTTCGTCGAGTTTGACACCCCTGTAATTTGCCATGTGTTTATGCCTTTTATAAGCTCATTTATATTGCAAGAAATGTGTTTAAGTCTCCAAGTGTTTGCTTTCGAGGGACAAAATATGAATTTTACTTACTTGCATTCTATATTGTGACGCCGGGCCGGCTGTGATTAAAACTGTGTGCAAGTATAGTGGGTAGATTCTTATCACGGATATTATATTATTTGTCCTTGTACGTTTTCTTCTGAGCCCGAACGAAGCAAGGGAGCCTATAAACATTCTATTGATGCCGCCATTCTATGATACCAGCTCCTGGTATCATGATATGATTGGCTAAATCGCTGATTGTTGACATCTTTGAGTTAAATATTTGACAGGTCTCTGTAAAAGGCGGTTGACCGCCCTACACGACTCCTACAGTTCGTGACAATTGCGCGATTGCCGTTCTCGATCGTTCTCTTTTAATTTCGGTCTCTCGATCTTTCATTATTTCACAAGTGATTCTGAATGGTACTTTATGTTCTGTTATGGGGAGGAATTTTAAGTAGAAGCCGTTTGGCTGTGCTATAGCCATTTATTAGAGGTCAAAGGCATGGCTTTTGGACTTTCCGCTGTATGTCGCTGTATGTCGCTTCGCTGAGTTTGACACCTCTATCAGGTGCTTATAATTTCTTTACGCTCATTTCAGTATTGCAAAATATGTTTTAAGCTCTCTAGGTATTGAAAAAGTTTGAAATATTCCGTGAACATGCTTACTTGCACCCTTTATTATAGACTACGGGTAGTCCCTCTTTCGCTTAGTCCGTCGCTCGTGACGCGAAAGAAAACCGCGAGAAAAGAAAAATTTCCGCGCGAAATCCTGGGGGCGAGGAGTGCGCGCTCCTCGCCTCCAGGATTTCGCGCGGCCATTATTGTCTCGCGGTTTTCTCTCGCGTCACGCACGACGGACTAAGAGGGACTACTCGTAGTCTACCTATATCATGACGCCGGGCCCGGCTGTTTGAGTAGGCCGATTAGAACTGTTTACAAGTGCAGAAAATGTAGCTTCTTGACAGGTCTAATTACCTCATTGACTGACTTGTTACACGCTAATCACCAAGGGCGGATAGGCACATCAAAACAAAGTCCACAGGCTCCCCTGTCCCGCCGCAATCGCTTCGCTCATTCTTCTATTTCGCGCTCGCCGAATTTTTTTTTCCGTCTTCTCCGGGAGCCTGTTCGCAGGCTGCTGAGACGCCGTAGCTTTACTTTGAGAAAGCTATACGTTTCTCCAGAAACATTCTTTTCAGTGTTTCTTGCAGCTATCGGATCGAGCTTATGTTTCTCGAGCTCGATGCATAGGTTTATTCCTCCCTTAGGTCGTTCTGGCACCACGTGATTCAAATGTAGCTGTTTACGAGCAATAAAAAGGAATTCTTTTATTGGCTGTATTGGACTGGAAATCTACGAGACGGTTTACGGACAAACTCGCCGATTCGTTGCAGCTGGATTACTAGTAAAAAAAAAAAAAGGGCTCTACATCCTTACTCGAAAATCCA